CCCTCCAAGGACAACTGAAGGACCGTTAATATCTTTATCTTCCTCCAGTTTCCAAATCATGAGCAAAAATATTTACGAGGTAATATCTTCATTACTGTGGCTTTAACACTCGGTTCTTGCATGCTTCTCTTAAACTCTCTAGTCAACAACCAGTAACAGGAGGCAGTGGTGACGCAGGTGGATTTGATTTCCACTGAAACAAAAAGCAACAAATCTCTGCGCTCCCTGGCCACTGAGCAAAAGGCTGAGTGCCTTGGAGTAGTGTGACCTAGCTTAAAATGTTGTAACAGCCCGGCTAGTGATTCCTGTCCACACAAAACCAACAGCTATCTTTCTAACCCTTCACAGCTGAGGCGGGGCCTCCACCACAGAGCGGCGTGTGGGCGGCTCTGCTGGCTTTGATGATGAGACTCTGGCAGCCAGGCTGAGAGAAAAGGACATTCGGGGAATTTTAAGTGGTTAGGATCAGCAGTTGTCATGTACAATTGATGTTCATTTATATTTCACTAGCCAAAATCTAATGCTGCCCAAAATCGGGAAAGAAATATTTCAAATACTAATCAAGTCCAATCCTGCTTTAATGTAAAAAATGAGCTGTCCTACCTTTTTCAATCCTAGTCTCAGAAGGGAGATTTAATGTTTCCTGACAGTGCTTTAAATACTTTGCTGTTCAGACTTCAGTGAATCCACAATAATTATATCAGTTAAACCAGCTTGGTTTTTCCAAAGCTGTTTCAAGCTGAAGATGCTTTTGAACTCCTTATCATGGCATTCATCCTTTGATACCAGGTTTAACAGAGGAAGGGCTAATACTCAGATGGATCACCACTTAACTATTTAACCCACTTACCTATTACTTGTTTTGTTTTTTGTTTTTGTTTTTGTTTTTTAGTCTATCAACTCCATATTCTACAGTTTCCCAGGCTCCTCCCTTCCAGGAAGCTTAATTGAACAGAATATAGGAACCATATGCCTTTCCCAGTGGAGAGTTTCAGGGAAGGCCCAGTGGTTTTTAATTCCCAGAAGATCAAGCAATAAAGACTTCAGTAGATTAAGAACTGACTTAACATTTAGTGTCAAACTCAGCCTTTTATAAGAGCTTTTATGTTGTCTTTTCTATGAAGGAGTTTAAAAAAATATTTTTGTTTCACAGATAAAGTGTGAATTATCAATATACCATTGTTTTAGGGGGAAAAAAGTACCAGCATCTCTAGGTGGAAATTAGTTCTACCCATCCCTCATCACTCCCTCAAGATGTCTAACAATTTCATCATAATTTTGGCTTCAATCAGTGTTCAATCTTACTGAACTACACTCTCCCATAAAATGAGATCTTCTCGATCTCTTGTATTGGCAATCTCTAGCCTTCACCTCTACAACAACTGAACAAACAAAAGAGCACAGTTGAAAACGATTTTCCTTCAGAAGAGTAGCCAAAGTGCACGAAACACATTTACATAAGGCTATAAAGTAAGCATAGGAAGCAGAAGGCTTCTCCTCCGTGTTGAGTGGAGCAGTGAGCTGAGCCTCCTGGAGAAGCATGAAAATGGTATCTGTTGACCCTCTTTATTTCTTCAGACGACCACTGAATTTCCACAGCAGAATCTGTCTTAGCTTCTTTGAGAGTATAAACAATACCTCTATAAACCAGGGATCACATGTGGAAACCCTATCATTTTTTTTTCATAACCAATTTTCCTGTATATAAACAGATTAGAAGTCATGGAGTGGATGCTGACTACTAACAAAAGAAATTATCAAAGGGATCAACATAAATGGTTATAAAATCAGAGCAGGTCTTGCAAAATACAAACATGGCAGGGTCAAAACATAGGAGAGATGATAGCAAACGAGGTTTGCTTTGAACTTCTCATTCAACATTTATCATGTTTTCTCTTAATTTTCTGATAAACAATCATTTGTTATTTTACATTTGACTCTTATAAATCCAGACTTTCATAATTTGATACTCTGTTTTTTAATCCTGCCATATCCATTTACATGATGCTCCAAGATTCACATCAGCAACTAAATTTGCTATTTTCACTTTAAGTGGGAACTCTTTTGATATTAATAGGCTGATTTAGAGAAGGTTACCTCTTAGGCAGCGGGTCTGGACTGGTTGTAGGATTATTGTCAAGTTGGGATATAACAGTGGTAAAATTTTCAAATTTGGGAGTCAGAAGACACAATCTAGTTCTAATTTTGCCCTTTATTAATTACATGGGCTACTTAATAGGGTGTAGTTTAAACTCCCCACTACATTTTATGGGAAGTATATGTGTATGTCAGTTAGATTAAGCTATGTGTAAGGGTGGTCATTTGCCCTAACTAAAAATTCACTCCCTAGGTGTCATCAACTAGTCTTCTAATCAACTAGTCTAACCAGCCTCCAGAGGTGCTTTCTAGCAAAAATTCAGCTATCTTAAGCTTCTAAAAACACCACCAGGATATCCTTAATTAGCATAATTTCTGTTAAAAATGGCTTTTCATTGGTAAAATTAATGTGTGTCAATTAGTATTAGGGATGTTAGAAAAGGGTGAAACTGGTGGAGATGGAGATATTAAAGATACATAGATTGTATAAAATATTCTAGAGACTTTCCTTGCCTATAAACAGAATAAGAACCTAGAAAACCCAATGGCCTGTGCCCTTAGGGATATTGTTTCCTAGCTTGTCCTGTGCCTAGCCATTGACTCAAACCTCAGTCCACTGACTCAAACCTCGGTCCACTGCTGGCCTGATATCTACTATATCGGACTATAAACTTCTATGTTACATAAGCTGTTTTGTGCCTGCTTCCTAATAAATGTTTAATATGCATCTTTATGTGCAGCTGGATTTGGTCAGAGATTTACTTTCAACATAAACTGGTAAAGAGGTTGTATGGAAGATAGTTACTCCTCATTCATCTCTAATTTTTGGTGGTTCCCATTATCCACAAAATAACTTTTGCAATATTGCCCTTCACGCAACATTGATTTCTCTTTAGCCCTGTCCCACATATTTGTAATGTCATCCAGGTGTCCGTATGCAATTAAGAGATAATAAACTCATAGATCTCCAGGCTATAGACTCAGAGGGCTTCAGTGGGATTCAATGCATGCGTAGGGCTCTCCTGGGTTAGCAGTTCCTTCAGGCCTCTATGGTTTGATCTGACAGTTGCTTGGTCCTTGCCCCAAGTCCCAGAAGCAGACAGGATTTCTCCAGTTCCCTCTAGGGTCTTCAGTTCTTTGGAGTTTTGATCAATACTTCCTGTAGACTCTTTCTTCCACAGGGCCATGGTCAAACCCTTTGCTATTTGCCCATAAGAATAGAACACAGGGCAAGCATCTGACTCTTGATTTCAGCCCAGGTCATGATCTCAGGGTCATGAGATCAAGCCCCACGTCAGTCTAGCACTGGGCGTGGAGCCTGCATAAGATTCCCTCTCTCCCTCTGCACCTCTGCACCCTCTCTCTCCCTCTCTTAAAAAGAAAAAAAAAAGATAGAACATAGATTGGACATCCTGGGGCCATGTCATAGATAGAGGTAATGATGATGGTGGTAATGACTATTAATATGATTTCCACATGGCAAAAACCTATGTCTCCACGGATTGCTTAGCTGCGCATGAAATAAAACTCAAGAAGTATTGGCTTAAATGACTTAAGTTTTTTTTCCTAGGTATACTACACCTAGAGTTGGGCAATCTAAAGTTGTGCAAGGTATCAGTGATGCTATCAATGACCCAAAGTCTATCTGCCTGCTCTCTCATCATTAGTTTGTGGCCCTGGTTCCCATGTTTTCAGTATGGCTGTGGCACTTCCAGGCATACAATGGGGAAGGAGAAGGAACACAGGCCTTTCACAAAATAATGCTTTGCCTTTTTATTCAAAAAAGAAAACTCCCTCCAGGGAAATGCATTTATATTACATAGGCCAGAAGTTTGTCATCCTCTAGCTGCAGGGGGGTTGGGAAAGAGAATAATTTTAACAGGACATACCACCATCCTGAACAAAATGAAATTCTGACAGGAAGGAAAAAAGGGACTCGATATTGACAGGGAACTAGTAGCACTTACCATTCCTACTATTTAGTAGTCAGTTTAACTCACCATCTCTAACATGATCCATTAACCATTTTCCACAGTATGAAACTGAGCATCAAAGACTTTTAGTAACTTGCCCAAGAAAATGGCAGATTCATGATTTGAATCCAGAACAACTTGATTCATAGCAATAGTAATAATAGTTAACATTGGTCAAATAGTTGCCATGGGTCAGATATTCTGCTACGTGTTTTTTATGTGTATGGACTCATTTCCTCCTCATAGAATCCCTCTGAAGAAGGTGTTTTTATTGTTCTCACTTATCAGATGAGGAAACCAAGCCTTGGAGAAGTTAATGGACTTGCTTAGAGTCATGCAGATTATAAGAAGTAAAGCTTGAGTTTAACTCAGTTCTGTGCGAATCCTTAGCTGTTGACCCCTCTACTACACAGCTTCTGCCAAACTCACTCATTCAAACTGTAAACACTACCACCATCATGCTAGGGTAGGCACCAGAAGAACAAACCAATGGTTAAATACCAATAAGGCAGCTAATAAGTACTCCACTTAGTAGGATTAAATAGAGTAGAACCCCTGAGAATGGAAACTGAAGATACAAGAAATAGCAAGAAAACGAGTAAGGTCCAAGCTGGTGTTAGCTGTGTACCAGAATATGCACAAAGGTCCTCCTTTTCTACATCAGTGTGTATTCTTGATGAAGTCACACGGAAATATCTATCACAGAAGATGACCATTGCTCGTTGCCTATCCAATAACCTTTCTCCATTCTTTACTAACAGAACACCCATCTTACTAAAGGCAACATTAGACTCTGTTAAAATGACTCACTTCCACAGGTTTCCCTGCCTCTATGGGGTGGCCATATGGCACAAGGCTGGCCAATGTAAGTACAGTCTTTTGGTTAGGGCTTCCTGAAAAGCTTGCTGTTGAAAAAAGACAAGCTTGCACTTGCTTTGGCAGCACATATACTAAAATTGAAATGCTACAGAGAAGATTAGCACAGCCCTTGCCCAAGGATGACATGCATATCTCTGAGGCATTCCATATTTTGCACAGTTCCCAGAGGTCACTTGACACTTCATTGCTTAATACCAAGGAAACTACATGAGTCAAAGCACAACATGTGGCATCCAATGTTGAAATTGTGATTTTTTCCCTACAAAAAGAGAGAGAGGGAGGGAGGGAGAAAGTGACAAGCTCAGCTCACTCATTATTTGCCCTTTATTCATTCCTCTTCTGATCTGGAGTACTGTTGTGATGTTGAGTGAGGCAGCAGCCATCTTATGAGCATGAAGATTACAGCCTCACACTAAGGATGGCATGGTGGAGAGATAGACAACTGCTTAAATGCTAAGTCCCTCATAATATTCTGGAGCCTCCAAACCAACCTAAGTTTGCCTATTTCTGGATTTGTGACGATTTATGAAAAATAAACTAGTTAAGCTGCTGTTGTGGTATTGTGTTGTTGTGTTTACATGAAGCTGAAGATAACACCTACTGATAGAGATGGCCATGCTATTCTCTCCTTCAATTGGATTTATTTTTGGTTTACTACCAAAGTCATCTCCAGGTAGAACATATCATTGTCACTGCCCCAGCTTTGACTGTATGGGGGACCAGGTGTGATGCTAATTAGTCTGGAAGGAGTGGATCCCACATCTTCTTTCTTTGCACTAAAGAAGGTCTCCAAGTAATAAAGTGACACTGTACAAAGAACAGAGACTTTGGCCAATCTAATCTTCATGACAATTTTACTCACTCTCTATGAGCTTCAGCTTTCTTATCTCTACAGTGGAGACTCTACCATCTACTTTAAATATTTACTGAGAGGTGTGTGAAATGCCTAATTCAAGTGGTACATATGGGTACAGTTGTCTTTATTATGAATTCCCCTCTCTCACTAATACAAATGGAACAAACCTTATCCTCTCCTCCCCCATTCTCAATGCATCCCTAGTCTTCTTGTTATAATGTTCTTTGGAAAAACATCTGCCCCTAGAATTTGGCCTTGGTTTTCATTTTATCCAGATTTTGGATGGTTAAAAGAAGTGGGTGGAAAAGGGAGTGGGGAGAAGTAAAAGTCCATAGAGTATGACCCTAGGCATGGATGACTCTTCTGTCGGGCAGAGGAAAACCTACAAGAAGACAGCATGCAAACATCTCCCCCCTTCCTCGGAACTTCCTTTCTTCCCCATGTAAAGATGGAGACCCGAGTTTGTGACCATATCTATAGGTTCACAAAGTATATCTATTTTTTTAATTAGAGTTTTTCTTGAGAGCTAAGTCTTCTGAGATGTGCTCTTGAATAAAGTCATAATCATCTATAGTACATATTTATAATACACGCATATATATGCCACATACATATTTATATATAACATTAGAGTCTGTTACCATGGCAACTATTGCGGTACTAACAAATTAAGCATTGTGACTCCACTGTAATAAGAAAAAAGAAATTCAAATGAAACACCAAGCATTTGTTTAAGCACAAATATTCTTAGTAATTAAATACACAGAAACAATACAGAAAACCACAAATTAATGTTTAGAAGCCTTTTCTAGTATGAAAACTGGCTTTGCTGTTGTTTTCCCTTTACCACTGCATTACATTATGCATCTTTATAAATTAAGTTCAGCACCAGGTTAACAAGAACAGATCTGCTGCATTGGGGCTCTCACATACCAACAAGCTCAGCTTTCGGTCTCAAGAGGTACACCTTCCACAGTCAGTGAGAAAGATTTTATGGCTCTTTTTATTCATCAAAAAGAGGACTTTTAAAAAGAAAGCTCAAATGTGAAGTTGGTCTTACATCCCCTGTTTCATTCAGACAACATGTAGAACTACCCCTGGGGTTTTGAATACATTAACATCCTTTCACAATTAACCCTAATAGGACAAGTGTAGCATTTTTTTCCAAGCAGATATAGTCAAAGCTGAAAAATACATAGTGTTTAAATAGATCTCATTATATCAGCTACACCAAATCTCTCCTCTTTATATACAGAGGATTGTACCTCTTTTCACTGTGATGCAACATTAAAATAGGAAGGCATACACAAGGATGACATGGATTTGACAAAAAATTAATGATTTGTACATCACTTTAATGCTTTGAATCTGCAATTCATGTATGCTAATTAGTTCATAATGGGCTGTTGAAGAACAGAACTGTCATCCTGCTGCTTCCCGGGTTTCTGGAAGCTCTGATTCAGCACAGACTTGCCCGGTTGCCTGCTGGATTCTGGGCTGAAACCCGGCAGATCTATGAGAGCAGTTCCCCCCCACACACACACAAAATTGTTTCTTGGATGTGTGCTTTAATCTATCAGAGTTACGGGCATATCTCAAGTAAGTGGTTCCTGGGTGCCGCGATACACCCCGGGAGCAGTAGCATGGCACCACTATATCCAGATGATTGATTCCCGGGTTTTAGGCTGTCAGGCTTTTTACCTCAGAGGGCAGCCGTCAGCTTCCCAAATGGATGAAGTTGTATTATGCAGCACATTTTGAAAATGTATGTACAACTTTTTTTTTTAATTTATTTACAGATAAAAAAAGGCTATAAAACTTGGAGAGAGGGAACAAAGGGGGCACGAAGATCAGATATCTTCTCTTACTGTGGGAAATCATGTATATCTCCCCAGTGCAAGAAAAGCAGCTACTGAGTCCTGTTTTCCTTTGGTCTTTGTGCCGCTGAGGTGGAGACAGACTGACCCACTGGCAGGAGAATATGAGGCTGAACAGCCTCACAAAGCAAAAGTAAGCACCGGGGCTTGCTGTAAGCTGCGAGATTTGAAAACAAGTTGCTCTGTTTTTACTGGAGAGAAAACTGATTTTGCCTGATCTCATGATGGAGACCTGACCCAATGTGTTTCTCATATCACATCTGCTGATCTGTACACCCAGCTGCTGCGCATGTCCAGACAGGAGACTACACAAAGGAAACAAGCACTAAATTTGCTTCCAGGTTTGAAGTATCCGATGCCTGACGGCTGAAATTTTGTCTTGAAGTCTCCAAAGTGAAAATGCATTTAATTAAAAAAAAATTTTTTTTTAACTGGAAATTCGAACTAATGGTCATAATGGAAGAACTGAGCCAGGCCAGGGGAAAAAAGTACTCCCAGTGTAGTTGAGCTATTAAGGGCTTTTAGATGACCAGGAATGCATACTTTTTAAATATGCAAAATAATGGTACACTAAAAGAGAGTTTAAAAGTGATCAAGTTAATAAGAATTATTTTGGGGGCACCTGGGTGGCTCAGTCGTTAAGCGTCTGCCTTCGGCTCAGGTCGTGATCCCAGGGTCCTGGGATCGAGCTCCGCATCGGGCTCCCTGCTCCACAGGAAGCTTGCTTCTCCCTCTCCCACTCCCCCTGCTTGTGTTCCTGCTCTCGCTATCTCTCTCTCTGTCAAATAAATAAATAAAATCTTTTAAAAAAATTATTTTGTTTATAGTTTTATTTAAGGTCTTTATACAAGCAAGAAGGAAAAAATGTACTAATAAGAATAGGTGTTTAATAAATGTTGAATGAATGAAGGATGCTCTTCAAAAAATGTTGTGACTTGGGGTGCCTGGGTGGCTCAGTCAGTTGAGCATCTGATTCTTGATTTTAGCTCAGGTCATGATCTCGGGGTCATGAGATTGAACCCCGTGTCGGCCTCTGCATTGGGTGTGGAGCCTGCTTGGGATTCTCTCTCTCCCTCTCCCTCTGCCCTTCCCCTTGCTCGAGCTCTAAATAAATAAATAAATAAATAAATAATAAATAAATTCTTAAAAAAAATGTTTTGACTTAAGAAATACATGAAATGATATTCCTACCTTAGAGGCTACACGTGGCTGCCTAGTCAGCACCAGGAAAACTCACACAGATGTAAACAGTGATGACAACATTTTATCTGCATTAGACATCAGAATAACACTTTCTTGTGAATGAAACCAAACCACAAACTTAAAGCCCCCTCCACTGGTTGGGTTATTCAAACCTGTAGATCTTAAGTTGTGTTTGGTAAATATGTAGGAGTAAGACGGTTGTTGGGTCATTTAGCAGAGGTATGCTTAGCTTTTTGAAAAAGTGTCAAACTGTTTTCCAAAGTGGTTGTACCATTTTACATTCCTGCCAACAGTGTAGGAGAGTGCCTGTTCCTCCACATCCTCACCAACACCCGAAATCTTTTTAACTTTGGATAGTCTAATAGGCATGTTATTAGATCTTGCTATGGTTTTGATCTGCATCTTTCTCATGAGTAAAGATGTTCAGCATCTTTCCATGTTCTTATTTGCCATCCATATATTTTCTTTGGTGAAGAAACTGTTCAAATTTTTTGCCTGTGCTTTACTTGTTTGTTTGTTATTTTAAATTATTACTGTCATCAAATTTTGAGAGTTCTTTATATATTCTGCATACAGTCTTTTATCTGATATATAATTTGCAAATATTTTCTCCTAGTCTGAGTCTTCTCTTTTCATTCCCTTAGCCTACTTTTGAAGAGCAGACATTATTCACTTTGATGAAATTATGTGA